CCCCCCTTCCGGACTTTACTTCTCAAACAACAGGAGCTCTTGTCTACCCTTTGTTTTCTTTTGAATTTCCAAAATTAATTGTCTTCACTTATTTGCATATCAATCAATAGTTCATGGTTATAAACCTGCATTTCTTCTGCAGTGTCAGTGACAAAACGTCTGACCGTTTCCAAAATCATATCCAGTTGCTTGAGTAACAGTTTTGGGCATTGCGCTAACCTTTAACTAAGAAAGCACCGCACACTTCCAAGAGAGCAACACGGAATCTCCTAAACCCATTAAGACCTCATTTTACTTCTTTTCACCAAGGAAAGTAGATCTCTTAATCCTAAAAGCAACTTGAGTCTTTTCGTCCAAAAACGCAGGTGTGTACCGTGCAGACAATCAACCCCACCATGTACGCAAGAATAATCTTTGGTTGTTTGTCACACTTCAGATCGGCATTGCGGATCAGCTACCGAAGGCTAGGAGGCTGACACACCCTACAAGACCAGCACCAACCTGTGCCCGAGGCATTTTTACGGCGATTTCCTTCCCAGAAAGTACCAAAAGGTATGAGTCTGCAGGTTGACCATTAGCTATGAAACGGGTGTGACCGTTTGCTATGCCTTAAATTAATCGAGATATGAAGTCGAAAAATTTTTTTTTTCGGTGTCGGCAAAGATAGACAACTGTGAGCACAAGTTTTGTTTCGGACATTCGGTTCCGCATTTTATGCTATTGTGTGCAATCATTTGCAATTCCTATGGAATACATGTTTACAGAGAGGATTTTAAAGGGTAGTCCTTTGATTGGATTGCTTAATCTGCTCAGTTTTTGCATTCAAGTTCTTGATATGAACTTTTTTCAATTGACTCATTGCACGTATCAGTCACAGTTATGTGGTCACGTAACTCTTTCGACCAGCGGTTCAGCGTACACCTTAGCAAACGATGTATCTTTTTCGTGTCTGTCCCCTTCCAGAGAAAATTGTATCACACACATACAGATATAAGATATATGTTTTCTATGGAGGGGCAGAAAGAATGGAGAAAACGTTTGAACATCTTATTCTGGAAAAGAAAAGTAACATCCAAAAAATTCAGAATGTCAACACGATGAAACCTCACGTCGTGTTGCTAAGGTTAGTGTCTACTGTCTGTACTGATTAAGTCTCAAGTGGAAAGTAGAAATTCTGCTTTCAACTGCTTGCAGTGCTGTTGATAAGCCACTATACTTGCATTGATGCAGACCTTTTTTATAAGGTGCCGCAACTTTCGTTTCTATGTCGAAGAAAGCCAATCAATTTATTTATTTATCGAAACAGCATCGCATTGCCATTTTACCTCTTCAAATTCACCAGAGAAAGGCACCTGCAGACAATCAACTCCACCACGTTTATATACATATATATGGGTTGTTTGTCACACGGCACTGCGGATTAGCTACCCAAAGCGGATAATACTACTCTTTTCTTGTTTCTGCCCAAACTCTGTTCGTACAAAAAGACAACGCTCTCTAATATCCTGATCCCCCAAAAGCACCAAAGTGCCGAAATACATCGCATTTTCCGTACATGAAAAAAACCCCGCACTTCTCTTCATACGAAAAGCACTGCACTCATTAACTCTTCGATTTCATTCAGGAAAGCATGTGCACCTGTCAGACAATTACCGTAACTGTGTGTATATGACCTGGATTTTTTTTGTCAAATGGCATTTCAGATCAGCTACCTAAGAAGAACACACCTTACAAGAAAAGTGTCATCCTTGGTCTTCAGTTCCTATCCAGAAAGTGGCTAAAACGTTTGTGAATAAAGAAACTATTTTTACACACCGTCCATTTTTTTACACCGTTATTTTTATGATGGGGTCTGTCACTGCTGATTTGTTGACTCAGTCACGGTTGAGATGCAATGCATCGGGTTGGTGTGACCTATAAAATGAGATTTGGGTTCTGTTTATAGGTAGCTGGACACCATGGGAAGAAAGCTGCGACACTTGCTGATTTTCCTTCTCATCATCCTGAAGGAGCCAAACCCACCAAGGGCTTCCTTCCTCACCAGGATCCCTCAGAACCTCCGTACATCCATCTCTGAGTTAAGATTAAAATTTAACCATTTTAAAACTGTAAAACAGTCTGACCTGTTACGGTATAAGAAGGTGACTTTGGTGGCCCTCAGTCACAACCATATAACAAATATTGAAACTGGCGCATTTGCATATCTATCCAATTTACAACATTTATTTCTGTCCAATAACCAGTTAACCACCATCCATGCTGGTATGTTTTCAAATATGCCGCAGCTAAAAGAGTTGGCCCTGTGTGACAACCAGATAACTACCATCGAACCTGGTACACTTGCAAATTTATCCCAGCTTCAAATGTTGTGGCTGGAACGCAACCAGATAACTACCATCCATTCTTGTACATTTGCAAATCAACACCAGCTGATAATGTTGCGCATGTCCTACAATCAGATAACCGCCATCCATTCTGATTCATTTGCAAATCTGACCCAGCTGCAAACGTTGACCCTGAACAACAACCAAATAGCTTATATCCCTTCTGGTACATTTGAAAACCTGTCCCAGCTAAAAGAGCTGTGCCTAGAAAACAACCTGATAACTACCATACATCCTTGTACATTTGCAAATCTATCCCAGCTAAGAGTTTTGGATCTATCCAGCAACCAGATAACTAATATCCATCCCTGTACATTTGCAAATCAACCCCAGCTACACGGGTTGAGCCTTGCCGGCAACCAGATAACTACCATTTCTGCTGGTACCTTTGCAAATCATCCCCAGCTAAAAAATTTGTGGCTGTGCGACAACCAGATAACTACCATCCATTCTGGTACATTTGGAAATCTGACCCTATTAAAAGTTTTGAGACTTCAAGACAACAACATGTCGGCCATTCCCCTGTCAGTCTCCTGCTTGCTCACATATACCATCCCATCTTTATTAGAACTAGACGGGAACCCCTGGCAGTGTGACTGTTTAATGTCTCACTTAAATCCCGCATTAAAAGACAAGATAATATGTGCCCATCCCGCCAAAGTTCAGGGACAGAAGCTCACAATTGTTGATCCTAAAGAATTGATATGTAAAGAGCCAAACAAATCACCAGTAACTATGGATAGATGTTTAGATGCACAGTCAACATCTTCAGTTTGCAACACAGAAAGTACTGATATCTGTTACAAGTCAACCCTCACCTCTCACTATCAGTGGTTCTTCAAGCGCACTGCCACTGCTGGCTCAACAGCCCATACTGCAGAAAACACAATCATAACAAGAGCAACATCAGCTTTGCCCCTTGCAATCACCTCAAACAAACCAGAAGTTGCCCCCAGTTCCCCCTTACATGTTATTATTAGCTCTATCTGTGGTTCAGTTGCTGTTAGTGTTCTGATTGGGACCTTCTTGGCTGTAATATGGCATAAGAGGAGGATCAAGAATGCTCCATTAGGGCTGAATCCTGGTTTTGTTGGGAGAAACAAAGCAGTGTCGGTAATGGCCAGTGGTCATGATCAGGCAGAGCAGGGGCAGTCTGAGACCATCACTGAATCCAACACAAGCACCACAACTACAGTAATGACCAGTGGTGATGATCACCAGTATGAAGATATTGACAACCCACGTCTTAAAACAGGGCAGGGTCAGTCCCAGGCTATCACTGAATCCAACACAAACACCACAGCTACTGTGTTGGCCTGTGGTGATGATCACCAGTATGAAGATATTGACAACCCACGTGTTAAGACAGGGCAGGGTCAGTCCCATATTATCAGTGAATCCAGCACAACCACCATAGCTACTGTGATGGCCAGTGGTGATGATCACCAGTATGAAGATATTGACAACCCACGTAATAAAACTGGGTTGGGTCAATCTCATGTTATCACTGAATCCAGCAAAAACACCAAAGCTTCTTCAATGACCAATGATCAGACAAGACAGGGTCAGTCTCAGGCAAAAACTGAATCTTTGGATGCGAGGAATTTTTCATATGGCACCGGGCCTACTACCCCAGAGCTAAATTCTCTGTACAAAGAAGGTACTGTAAAGACCAGTGGTTATTATCAGACAGGACAGTCTCAGGCAAACGCTGAATCTACGACGAATATTTCTTATGGCACAGGGTCTACTACCCCAGAGCTAAATTATCTGTACAAGGAAGCTACTTTTACTGTAAAGACAAGTGGTTATGATCAGACAGGACAGGGTCAGTCTCAGGATAACACTGAATCCTTGGATGCGAGAAATATTTCTTATGGCACAAGGTCGACAGCCTCGCAGCTAAATTCTCTGTACTAAGCAACAACTACATGTATAATGGCCACTGGTTATGATCATACAGTACAGGGTCAGTCTCAGGCCAAAACTGAATCCACACAAACACAAACACCACAGCTACTGTACTGACCAGTGGTGATGATCAGATAGTACAGAGTCAGTCTCATCCCAACACAAACACCACAGCGACTGTAATGACCAGGGGTAATAAGATAGGGCAGGGCCAATATCATGTAAACGCTCAATCTCCTACAGTTGCAAATCTGTAACGTAAATCTGTAACGTGCTAGCTGCCTTATATCCAAACCTTATGTATGTAAAAACGCCAACAAAGGATGAAGCGTCTATATAAATGACCAGTGTTCATCGTCAGACAGGTCAGGATTAGTCTCAGACTAATATTCAATCTCTAAAACTGTGAAATAACAAAGTGGTAGCTGCCTTACAGCCACTCAGTAGAGTTAAGACCATTTCACGACCCCCCAGCAATTTGGGCGTCGACCGCCCTAGCAACACATGGATACAACCTCTGACCCTGAATTTTCCAGATTTCTCCTATTGTTTGATAATTGCCCTGACCCTGCCCAGTGTGAAAACATTGCAAGAGGGGTGCCGGTTGACCAGGTGAAGTGATACCTGGCCTCTGTGGAGTGTGAAATGTTTGGCTGTCTGGGAACAGTGCTGGATGTGTATTATAATTGACAAAGGAATCCATATGTCTAGTGTTTCTAATTTGTGTGATTCCCAGATCTAAACATTACACACTGGTCGATTGTTCTGTCAAATGTGACTTTTTCATTGCAAATATCCTGACAAGGCATAAAACCTATAAAACTCAGAGACTTTAGTAAAGGAGAACCTGAGTATATTTATCATAAACACCAGGGGTACTGTTGATAATCAAAAGTCTGATAACCCTCCATGTTTTTCTGGATTTGATGCCGTTTTGTTTGTTTTGATGAGCAATTTTCATTACAGGACTTAGGAGAGTACTCTTATACTAGTGTTTAGACTAGTGGTTTGACATAGGTAAAACCTTGCACATACTTTCTTTCGAATTTTGGTAAGTTGTAGCAGCTCTATAGAACCCTTTTGCGTCGGGGAACAACAGACGATAAACTGGATAGTGAGTGCGCCAGTGTAATCAACTTGTTAAAAAGCTTGCGCCAACCAAATTATAGTTATACTTTTTGATGTCATCGACTTGTTCCTTATGTTGTTGTAGAGTATGTTGGATCAAGAAATGGATTTTCGATAAAGTATAGTCTTTTTCCAGTCTTACAATGTACTAGTACTTGGAACCCTGAAACAATGGTTGTTTATTGCTGATAAACCAAGCCAAGCTGACTGTCTGGCACTAGCAGGTAAAGGTGTGGACAAGCCGTGAACTGCCTATTGTTCTCCTTGGGTAGTCTGGTCCCCAACAAGGAAGGTGCTATGTCAACAAGTTAATTGGCTGTATTGTCCACTTATCCCAACAAAGTGATCAGATTTCAGTTCCTAAGAAGCCAGAAGTTCAATTTTTGTGATCTTATTTTTGCCCTAAAAGCGCATTCACACACAACATTCTTTTGAGTTACTGAACACATGTATAGAAAGTAGACAAGTTGTTCTAAAACAGTGTGTCGGGCCCAGAGTGCACAACATCTCCTACACTTTGCTGACCCTGTATGAATATTGCAAGCATGTGATTTTTGCCAAAAATCTGAACATATTAGATAATATCTCTGTTGTAATAATAATGATACACCTGGGATCGATGGGATGTTATAGGGTTTTTACTGACGAATACATACATACCAAATTTGCTTGAAAAAAAGTTTGTCTAGGGGTCCCGCCGGGCACTTGAAGTTTATAAATTTAGATGTGCTTATAATATCAATATTATAATATTAGCAAGTTATTCACAAAATTTATGTAGGCAGAGAGTTTGCCTTTGACCTTGTGATTTAGTAGTTGTCGGAAATGTCAGAAATTAACCATCCAATAAGTCTACATTACACTTGAAAGTTGGGCTGTCAGTTAATGAGGCAGGGAGGCTCAGGGAGGGGGACAATGGTCTTTACTCTATTGAGCAAACACTATACTACGTAGATGTGGAAATACCACCAAAGAATGAAGCGTCTACAGAAATGGTCAGTGGTCATGATCAGACATAGCAGGATCTGTCTCAAGCTAATATTTAATCTCCAAAAGTAGGGAAATCATCACAGAACGAAGTGCTAGCTGCCTTAATACATCCGAACCCTATGTATGCAGATGTGAAAATAAATGCCAACCCCTAAAAATATTGACAGAAATGGTCAGTGGTCATGATCAGATAGGGCAGGTTCAGTAGCAGGCCGTCACTGAATCCTTGGATGCTGAAAATCCATCCCTTAGCAGCTAAATTTCGCAGCTAAATTTTCTGTAGGAAATTGTAGAAACACTATCAAAATGCCATGACTGATTTCCACAATTCTTATGCAAAAACACGTAAAACATCTACAAATCTACAAATTGAATTCGCCTGGCCTAAATTAACTAACAAGGAAGCAGATGTGCATGGTGGTTTACACTGTTATTGCAGAACATTTAGTAACTTTTTAGTACCTTGTCCTTTACTAGGACATAGTACCTAGTAACGCCCTCTGCAGGAAAGTACAGTGGAGTGCAGGCCCAAAGTTCAAGGTGGATAGCATGAACACCATGAACATCATGGTTTTAAAATTGCATTTATCCTGGATGTATTATTCTTTTCTCAGACGTAGTTCGTGGTTTTGGAGACAAGTTTAAAGTTGTTGGGGCGTTTCGGTAGGACACCAGGTTGTAAAAGAATTACTTTAAATCTAATATTGTGAGCTACATTTCTTGAGAGAAACTTAAATGTACGTACAGTTTTAATAATGGTACCTCCCGTATTTGTGAAAGTTGTAGCTTGGTTGCTTATAATGGTATATCGTTTGATATCAACCCTGTACATTCTCATTGCCACAATTTTCTAATTTGAAATTAGAATAGAATTTTCTAAAAATTTTTTTTTTTTTGGGGGGGGGGGGCGCTGACAATTCGGGAAAATATAAAGAATTATAACTTAAAGTGAAGTTTAGCGAATGACGCTCTCATGCCTCTTTTTGACAACTGTAACATTGCAGCAACTTAGATTTAAATTTGATTTACAAAAATGTAATATAAAAATTAAGTCAAGTACACAAATATAGTATTGAGCTGTAGGCGCTCGCAGCTCATAATTGATGCTGATGTCTGCCATAAAACAAGATGGATATTCTAAACTACTCAAAAAATCACAAAATCTCAATCTTATCCTTACATGACATTTTGAAATTTATGATATGAAAA